TAATTACCTTTAAAGAATTGAATTTCTTTTACGTGATTTTATGCTATTTCAATTGTTAACTATTTATTTCAAAAATTTAATGAATTTAATAAATTCTATATATTAATTCTATAGATTAATAAATTCCATATATTTCCAAAAAATGCTCAATTAATTAAACTCTATTATTTTAAAAATATCTATTACTTTATATGGTACAAAGTACTTAATTTCTTAAAACAATTAAATTATTTTACTTATTTTAATTATATTTTCTTGCGAGATTGTTTGATAATTTTTAACAATTAATACATTGCAAATGAATTCTCGCCAATGAAATATAGTAAAGTAAAAGTATAAAGTAAAAATTGATACAAAAATTGATACAAAGAACTCTATTTGTTTTTGTACAAGTACATTATAATAAATCAATAGTGTCATACCAAGATTAAATATACAATCCTAAACTGTTTAAATCTATCCATTTTAGGGCAACAAATCTATGAAAAAAAATATACACTGCAATATTTTAATAATAAATACATAAAAATAATCTAATATAAATTTCATAGATTTGTTACCCCAGTATAAAAAATTTATCACTCACCGATCCGATGCGCAACAGCGGAGTTAATCTGCAACGTAGCTACGATGATTCTGTAACATACAAAAAGAATATTCAAATTGTAGCAGCGCTCGAAACAATAGATACTTTAAAAATTTTTACGTATATCGAATCTACTTGTTTTTCAATTAGATATTTATTAAAATAATTAATAATTAATAAATAATTTTCAAAAAAAGACCTTTATAGAAATAAATTCATATTAAACTTTAAATTATTTTTCTTTTTCAAACTATAAATGTTGAATGATCGAAATTCAATGATCCAAATAAATGAAAAAAGAAGTAATTTCATCTTGACAAAAAATGTACTTACCGCAAGGTTGCTCCGCCGGTGCCCGAGGCCTCCTCCTCCTCCTCCTCTCAAGCTGTCGGGTCGTCGGATGTCCTCGCAGCACAGGACACTCGCGAAAAACACTCGCGAATTATTATAATCGCGCGCGGACTAACTTTCGATAAAAGTCTTTCGCGCGATACTTGACGGCACTCCGCGTTTAGCTGCCCGTGAAAATATCAAGTTCCGTCGGTCCAGTCAGCACCCGAGTCGGTGAGCTTTTCGGGACACACGGTAACTCTTCAAGCAAAGGCTAGGACCGACGCGGAAGAAGACGAATCGACTGACTTAAATCCGACGTCTCTCGTTTCTTAGAAATCACGTCTAAAATTGACTCAACCATCGCATAGCCAACGGTTCAGGTCGAATCACCAGGGCGGATACCATACACGTGATATCAAAAGTCACCCGGGCTATCGAGAAGGCTGGTAGATGTGACGAGAGAGAAGGTACCCACCGCCGATGCCTAACAATCTAGACAATCGGACAACTGGGATCCAGCCTCTCGGCACACGCAATAACCGCCTGAACTAAGCTCTGATCGAGTCAGATTAAACGCGATTTGTTTAGGAAGAGGAAGGGTAAGATATTAAGGAAGGGAAAATAAAGGTCGTTGGCGATTAAATAATCGCACGCGCCACATAGGAGCCCTTTCACGACTCGTGGCAATGCTGTGTCGAAAATGAAAAAAATAGTCCGAGCGCTCCAGACTAATACGCGCTTATATAATCGCGTAAATCAGTGCGTGAAACGCACGCGCCACATAGGAGCCCTTTCGCGACTCGTGGCAATGCTGTGTCGAAAATAAGAAATCAAGAGAAGCGACGAAAACAAGTCAGCCGATTGAAATCTTGCCGATTAGGACCGAACCATTTGTCGAAGACAGAGCGTGTTCTCAATCAACCGTTTAATGCAGTTTGCAACTGTGCGAAACACAACACATCAAGCGATAGCGAGTGCGTGTAACATTCACAGCCGGCATCACCAGTGCCGCGGCGCACGTGGCGTGAAGACGTAGCCGACTACGCCTCAATGAGATCCCGCGCTCCCTGCACCCCTTGACAGTGCGACTCCCGGCACGAACTGTGATATTTATCGAACGAGCCCTCGCAGATCGAGGAAAAGTCTTTTAGTATCCGGTGTCCTTACGGCACTTCCGAAGCAAACGCGCGACGCGACGAACTGGCTGCAGTTCGTTCATTCACAATTAAATCGGCGGTGGAATGTCGGTTTAAAAACCGACGATTAATGCGTGAAACACGTTAATCAACTTTGCCACATAATAAGAGCCATTTCACGACTCGTGGCTATGCTGTGTTAGTATATTATTAATAACAGTAATATTACTTAACGTTAATATTAATGTTACTAATAACAGTGCAACGGGTACTGGTTAGCTTCTTCGTCTTTGGGGTACGTACTCAAGTAGCACAAGTTAATCGGCAAATCATTTCGCCGATTAATAGTACTGCTTAAATACCCCTCGGAATACTGAGCCCCTCTGCCACGTCAAGGCCGTACCCATTAGAGGGGTATTATTTAACAAAAAGTTATGAATTTCAAAGGAATAAGTGCGCGTCGCTCCATATTTCTTCGCATTTCTTTAAACTAAACATTGTTGTAGCTTACGAAATAAAATATCTTGTGTAATAATAAATGCTTATTATATATATATATATATATATATATATATATATACGCTTACGAATCATGAATCATCATCAATTAATAAGCATTTATTATTACACAAGATATTTTATTTCGTAAGTATAACAATGTTTAGTTTGAAGAAATGCGAAGAGCGACGCGCACCACACACTTGAATGTACGAACGCTGGTGAATGAATAGTACACTTGTCCGTACAAACGCCGGTGAATGAATGGTAGCACATCAACCACTTATAAACACGACTCGCCGTATGTACACAATGGAGCGCGCTACGCGCCGCGTAAACATTTCTCAAGTCTGCCCCATCAGTGACTACGACGAAATATTTCACAATATTACAAATAATATCTAACTTACACGAAATTACATCTTAGTAACAGAACATTAAATAACGTGTGTATACATATATTTCATTAAAGAGTATCGTTTCCATATGCTTGTTAATGTAGCAGTTTATTCACTCATTTAAATCAGTAGTGAAATATTGATTAAAAATCGACGACAATTGCGTATATTATTATTATATTATTAATATATTATTAATAACATTAATATCATCCATCGATAATATCACACACAATAGTCGTCGATTTACAAGCATATCACGAAACGATACTCTCTAATAAAATATCTACATATATACATTATTTAATGTTCGATTATTAAAAATATAGTATTTCGTATAAGTTAGATATTATTTGTAATATTGTTGAATTATTAATAATGGTGCAATGGATATTGTTGGCTTCTTCGTCTTTGGGGTACGAAACCCCTCGGAATACTCAGCCCCTCCGCCACGTCAAGGCCGTACCCATCGGAGGGGGGGTTATCATTTACAAAAAGTTATCATTCACAAATTTCAAAGAAATAAATCGCGCGACATATGCGCATATACTTATTAAAAAGATATCGTTTCGATACGTATTTACGAATAGTTAATCAATCATTGATAAGCATTTATTATTACATTCATATGATACGGCAACGTTTTGATATCATTTAACAATGAAAGAATATGAGGAAACGCGGAGCGACCTGTTAGTACGAACGCCGGATAAAGAATGATAACACGTGGAGCGCTCGTAAACACGTGACGCGCTTCGCGCCGTACATACCAAGGCCACGATGCGTAAACAATTTTGAAGGCCGCGATATCTATGTGTGTGTGTGTTCAAACGAAATATTCAACAATATTACGAATAATATCTAACTAAATACAAGGCTGTACAACGTCTGTTGATAACTCAACATTAAAAATCCTGTAATCGTTACGCCTTAAATGCCTTCTGAAATAATCTATTATCGTGCATTTGCTTGTTTGTTTAATAGACTATTACGATTTATTAAAGTTAGATATGTATATAGACATTTTACATACCTTATGTGTGTTACAAATAATTGTTATAATAAATTAGTTATCGCTATATGTACATGTTACAAAATAGTGTGCAAATTATAATTAAATTCATAAGCATTTGAAAGTGCCCAATGTAAAAATATTTGGATTAGATTATTAGTTTAAAAGTAATCGTTCGTAATTATCGTAAAACTATTATTATCATTATTATTATTATTATTATTATTATTATAGATATATCGTTTTGATTATAATAGAATAAATTATACTAAATACTTTTAACAATACATATATGTATATTCAATATGTTTGCAAATTTTTATATTCTATACAAAATTTAATTAATATGCCATGAATATATCATTAAAAGTTAATTTTATAAAAATTAAATTTCATTTATAGAAAGGCCGTGTAAAACTTTAATTGTTGACGCTTTCTGCAATGTTGATTATTTTTTCGCTTTGTTAACTTCGTATTACGAGCATAACCGTCAGCATAAATGTTAATATTTGTGTCAAGTTTTAATGGTAAAATTATATAGTATGTGGTATAAACATTTTATATAAAAATATACAATGTTAAGTATAAGTTAAATCACGGGCATGTCCGCTCTCAGGCTTCTCTCTGATCAAAGCCCTCTGTACACTACCGCCATTTATGAATTTGTAACTGCTTAGCTACATTTCTCGACATTGCTGATAAAATCGCATTCTGATGCATATCCGTGCTAACATTTTATTCTAATATCATTTAAATTTATCTTTTTTCTTCTTTAATTCTGAGAATTAAAAAAAATAAAAAGTAAGTTAAATCGAGATTAAAATTAATTTGATTGATAGAATATTTTTTAAATATAAGAAATGGCATTTTCCTGTTACCGATAAGCCCTTACAAGAATCTTCAAGCTAAAGATAGACTTAGATGGCGTCTCGTATGTACGAATCGCCAGAAACATGATGTTTCTCTCTCCGCTCACTTCTCGTGTGCAACTCTTCGTTGCTATGTACATTATTCTCGTTGCTAGGGTAAACTTGACAAGTGCTCGTGTCAAACGTGACGGCTTTGACAATTCGCTTCGAATGCTACTTGTCGCGATAAAACACGGTACTTGCTTCTCGCAGCCAGAAATAAAATTGTTATTCTACAAAAATGTGTCTTTTGATTTCCATCGTATTTTTGTTTGTGACTTATTCATCTTGCTATGCTTCTATTTTTACAATTAAACTCACAGTTATAAATTAAATATTTTGATTGCAGAGCTTTACCTGCAGCGCCTGAGTCCATCAAAGATCCTCAGGGAGGCTGACGTAAACCAGCAATGTTTGTTTATCTGAGTAAGAAGATTTCCATACCCAACAACTTTCGATTAAACTGCATAGCATGGAATCAAAAGGACGGATACATCGCCGTGGGAGGAGAAGACGGTCTCTTGAAAGTCCTGCGAGTGGACTCCAGTGCAAATGGATCGCACAGCAGCGGGAAATCTCGTGGCTTGGCTGCGGCAAGCAATCTGAGCATGAATCAGCCTCTGGAAGGTCACAATGGACATGTCCAAGTAGTGACGTGGAATGAGGAGCATCAGAAGCTGACCTCAAGCGACCAGAACGGGGTCATTATAGTTTGGATGCTGTACAAGGGATCGTGGTACGAAGAAATGATAAACAACCGCAACAAGTCCGTAGTGAGAGGTATGGCATGGAGCTGCGATGGTCAGAAGATATGCATTGTTTATGAGGATGGAGCTGTGATCGTCGGATCTGTCGATGGCAACAGGATCTGGGGCAAAGAATTGAAAAATGTGTCTCTATCTGCCGTGCAATGGTCCCCAGATGGAAAGTTACTTCTGTTCGGTTTGAAAAACGGCGAGCTTCACCTGTACAACAATCAAGGCATATTCCTGACGAAGCTGAACATATCCTCGCTGAATACTTCTCAATATCAAACCATAGTGGCACTCCAATGGTATGATGGAAGAAACGGTTACGTCGCCATTGATTGTCCTACCCTCGCTGTTTGCTATCGCAACGGTAGGATACTATTGATGCGGGATGCCAGCGACGATAACCCGATTATGATGGAGACCGGGATGACCACCTCATGGTGCAGCTGGAACAGCTGCGGTTCTTTCTTGGCGATAACAGGCATGATGCCGTTACTTAGTAACGGAGAGACGAAGGACATGAACGTCATACAGTTTTATACGCCGTTCGGCGAGCACGTGAGGACCCTGAAGATACCAGGGCGGGAAGTAACGTGTTGCACTTGGGAGAAAGGTTCCCTCCGAGTCGCCTTATCTGTCGACTCGCACATATACTTCGCGAATATCCGCCTGGACTACAAATGGACGTACTTCAGCAACACCGTCGTCTTTACGAACGAGAAGGTCGGCAAAGATGGTACCTGCGTGACATTCTGGAATACGAGCAGCAACGCGTGCTGTACTAAATATGTGAGATCTCTGATATCGATAGCTTCGCATGGAGAGCACTGCGTGCTCTCCGTAAGGAACGATCCTGCTCAGGCCACCGAGCAATTCGCTCTTCTCGTCTGCAACACCATCGCCACACCGATAGACTCCAAGTTCCTGGACCTGGAACCGTTGTATGTCACCATAACCGCCAACATGGTCGTGGCCGCATCCAAGAATAATTTTCTGGTGTGGAACTTCCGCGCGCCCCGCAACTCGATGTTGCACCCGAGCAGGATGCGGAAGTACAAGATCTACCACGTAGATGAGACGCCGACCGGCGTGACCGAGGTCATTCAGGATTTGGACAAGGATGGTGCGTTCGAGACTCCCATCAACATGAAAGTTACCATGGATCCGATCTGCTGCGTCTACGCCACTGAGAAGGTTCTTCTGGTCGGTCGAGATTCGGGGATGATTCAGCGATACTCTCTGCCGCAGATAACGCTCGTAAATCGATATAACACCGCGTGTAGACTGCATAGAATCGCCATTAATTGTGACTCTACGCGCGTCTCCATCCTAGACACCAATGGCATACTCACTATGTTAGATTTAGATTCACAAAAAGCGCCCGATTCGCGAGATGGGGGTTCGAGCGAGGATATATCTAAGTTTGAAAGGAAGGATGTATGGGCCATGTGCTGGGCAAAGGACAACCCCGCACTCCTGGCAATTATGGAGAAAACTAGGATGTACGTTTTAAGAGGATTAGACCCAGAAGAACCTATATCTTGTTCAAGTTACATTTGTTCCTTCCAAGATTTAGAGATACGCTGCGTACTACTGGATGAACTTATACTGGCGTCCGACGACACGCGAAAGGAATTGATCATAGACTTGGAGGTGAAATCTCTAAGAGACACGAGGGAGTTGCTGGCCAAGGTGGGCCTGAAAGAGGCGAACAATTTCATTCAGGATAACCCGCATCCACGGCTCTGGCGTTTACTGGCCGAATCGGCGTTGACGAAGCTGGACTTGGAAACGGCGGAGAACGCCATGGTACGTTGCACGGATTATTTAGGTATACAATTTATCAAACGTTTGCAGAATGTGCACAACGATCAGCTGAAGAAGGCCGAGGTCGCGGCGTTCCTCGGGAACTACGACGAGGCCGAGAAGCTGTATTTGGATATGGACAGGAGAGACCTGGCGGTCGCTCTGCGCCAGAAGCTAGGCGATTATTTCCGGGTCGTGCAATTGATGAAAATGGGTATCGGCGGGTCGGATAAACAAATGGAGCACGCGTATAACAAGATTGGCGATCACTTCGCCGAGAGGCAGAACTGGGAGAGCGCGAAAGAATACTACGAGAGAGGCAGGAATCAGGAAAGACTTATCCAATGCTATTATAAATTGGAAGATTTCATTCAACTGGCGGCAACCGTGGACCAACTTCCGGATAAGAGCCCCATCTTGAAAACCGTGGCGAGGATGTTGGCATCGGTAGGAATGTGCTCGCAGGCGGTAGCTGCTTATATCAAATACGGCGACGTAAAATTGGCCGTCGATACATGCGTGCGTTTAAATCACTGGGACCAAGCCGTCGACCTGGCGAAGACTTACAAAATGGCACAGATCGGCGAGCTGTTGAACAAATACGCCAATCATCTGTTATCGAACGGCAAGCGTCTGCAGGCGATCGAATTGTATAAGAAAGCTAACTATAATTTAGAAGCTGCTAAATTATTGCTTCATCTCGCAGAGGAGCAAGCAAAATCTAAGTCCCATCCTCTGCGCGTAAAGAAGATATACGTCCTCGCGGCATTGCTGATCGAAGATCACATCAATAGCGTTCCGGCGATAAAAGGCGGTCGCAGCAACGTCGTTATGGGTCTCTCCGAGAGTAACGAGGATACCAAAATCATAGAAAACGCCTGGCGAGGTGCCGAGGCGTATCACTTTCTTCTCCTCGCACATAGGCAGTTGTACGACGGTAGTTTTGACGCCGCGATGAAGACTGCCCTGCGACTCAGAGATTACGAAGACATACTGGAGGTGGAGGATGTCTATTGTCTTTTGGCACTCTGCAGTGCTGTCAATCACGCGTTCGCCACTTGTTCGAAGGCTTTCATAAAATTGGAAGGACTCGAAACGATTTCGGAGGCGAGAAAGGAGGAGTACGAGGAACTAGCGGTGGATATCTTCACGAGGCACACCCCGAAGGATTCCCGCAACAATAAGGCGGAATGCGTGAATTGCGAGACCTTGGTGCCCGATTGGTGCACCGCGTGCCCGAATTGTTCGACTAGATTCCCGGCTTGCATTGTATCGGGTAAACCGCTGATGGACCTCAGCACCGCGTGGATCTGCACTGTTTGTCGACATCACGTCGCAACGGAACGTGACGTTGTTAATATAAATGCCTGCCCCCTGTGTCACAGCACCATCACGTATATGTGAGATAAATCGAATAATTTAGTAGCTCGTTGGATTTTTATTTGCTCGAATTTCACGATAAATAGCAAGCTTTTATTTTTTAATTATTGTGCAATAAAAAAATGTAAAAATTCAGTTTTATTTCATGATATCGAAAATGAAGATTAATATTAAAGTTATTGCATTTTTTTCGTTTTTATAATTAATTTCGTTTTTACAGTTTTAATTGTAACAGTTTGTTTTTTAATAATTAAATTCACATTTAATTAACTAATTAAATGTGAAATAATTATGAGAGATAATTTGAAGTAAATTAAGTAATGCATAAAACGCTTAACGTTATTTTCGTGCCTTAATATTAAATAATTGATACTGCAATATAAATAAGAATCATTGAACACATTACATTTTAAAAAGTGTGCCAATTTTTTCTTTGTGCACTGATATATTTTTACTTTATTTATACAAATAGGATTTTCATTTCAATTTTTGAACAATATATATTCATACGTTTAATTTATTTTTTTATATCGATGATATTTTCTCTCTGATATTCTATACAAGATCATATAGATATTAACAGATAATAGATTTTTACTGAAATAATATATAGATATAGGAAGCTCGATATATACGATTTCATATTAAAGCGAGTATCTCCCAACTGAATGACAAAATGCAATCTAACGAGAATGTAATTTCAATGGTGTGCCATTGCAAATGCATTACCGACGTTGCAGCTATGCACATCTGCTGTTTCAACGAGAACGTAATGAAGCTTTAACGAGCGGGATCTCTTAATTAATTTTTGTCGCGTCTTGAAAGTTTATATAAGTACGAATATAGATATTGTAATTATGCAATTAATAGTTTTGAGTCTGATATCATATTTGCAGAGTCTTGTTTTGTCAAAATTTTACTGATTCTATAAAATATAATATCTTTTTTTAATATATAATGATACAATAATTAATTAAAGATTATTTATCTATAATTTGTATTCCGAATCATTACAATTATAAAATGTATATTATGCGAGAATATTTTATCTTTGCTATCGCGTTTTATTTTTAATAGCAAGGTAAAATGAGATACTGTAATTATAATGCGGACATTCGATATCGAGGTAGAAATTTTTTGATCGATCTCTAATACCTCACAGAATACATTATAGAAGTATGAAATATGTCTATTTATGTAATATGGTATAATTTAAGTTAATAGAAATATAATGGAATTTAATATGTGACTTTTAATCTTTTTCAGTAAAATGGACAATTAATATATGATTTATTAATAAATCATAATAAAATTCTATTAAATCATGTTTAAATTGAAACGTTCACTGTAAAGTTTTAATCTGTACATTTAGGTATATATTATTTTCAGGTATATATTATTTTCAGGTATACCTAAGTAATATTAAGTAATATTAGATTCCAATTTAAGTTTATTTAATATTAAATGGAAAAAATAAAGTAATACACATTTCTATACTGATAGACTGATCAAAATCTATAAAATCTCACACATTGCGCTGTTAATGAATTCCATCCAATCTTTGTTATTAGAAATTAATAGAAATAAATAAGAAAATATTGTTATATCTCATACGAAATATATACACGTATGTATAAAAGCGTATTTATGTAATACCTGCATTTTCCCAAACTCATGTCACCAACTAGTATTAAAATTCATATAAAAATACAATCTCTACAAATAGATCAGTTTTTAAGAACACAATAAAAGTCATCATAAAAGTCTTATAACTAAGGAAATTTATTGTTAGAACTGTAATAAATAATTAATAAGACATGTTTTCGCCAAACATTTTGCTGTTACGAATATTCGTAACTGATACAAAATTGTTGATTACGGAAATTTTGTTGAAGTGTGTATACATAATTGTTGAATTAATCTAGAACTAACAAAATGCATTTTATCTTTTATTATACTTTTTTGTACTGAATTATATTAAAAAATAATAAACGTAAAAGGATTTAAAATATACGTACAAAAAAGAGGATCGCCGATTAAAATTGATGTGAATGATAGAGGGCTTCTGTAAATTAGACTTTCTTTATTGGATAAATATTTTGATTAAATAGCAATTATTTGATTATTTCATTAAATAGCAATTTATTAATAAAATAAATATATTACTTAATAGTGAATTTTAAAGGTATGAAATTTTTCCGCTGCATATTAATTTAATGACAAGCCACTACCCCGTCTCTCGATTATGTTTACTTTCAGAAAAAAAAGAGGAAAAAGAAAGAGTTGTTGATTAAAATCGGCAAAAATGATAGATGACTGTATAGATTAATTTTTTACCATTATCATTTCTATCAAATTTAATTAAAATTGAAATAATCGTTTAATTTAAAGATTTTATTACAGTCAAATTTAACCAAAGTTCATTTAATCACAGTTTTATATGAAAATAGAGCAGTCTGCATAAAATGGAAATAGCTAATTTATATTATTATTTGATTATATAATAGAAAATATAATAGGATAAAGGTCACAGGATTAATATCGGGAATGACATAAAAATTGCATAATCTTGAATAATTATGTCTCTTTAAATGCTTCGCCAATTCGGTACACAATATATTCGTTGACGTTATTCGGATTGAGTATCAAATTGAGCTTTAAAAGCTAGATGTCAGGTGAACATTGATTTTTTGGTTATACGATAATGCTTTCAAATAAAATAATTATCCTCAATCATTACTTTGAAATAAATAAATGCCGCGATGAATATTTTATTCATCTCTGCAGAGATGATTGATTCGCAAAAAAAGACAAAAATAAATACCAATATACAGAGCGCAGAGCAATAGAGATTATTTTCGTGTGTGGATAGAGCGAACTAAACTGAGATGAAAAGTCCTCTATCATTTTGCAATTTTCGCAATGGTTAACGAGATATTAATTCTTAAAAATCATCATATTAGTCCTGCCCATCGACAAATGTTGTAAGCGCGGTACTCCCGGCGATCATTGTTGATAGGCGCATGAGGAATTGTTTACTTCAATATACGACAATAACTACGCACGAGCCGCTTGAAGTAAACAATTCCTCACGCGCCTATCAACAATGATCGCCGGACGGGAATGATCGATGGGCAGGATAATACGATGTTTTTAAGAATTAATATCTCGTTAACCATTGCGAAAATTACAAAATGATAGAGGACTTTTCATCTCAGTACATATGTGCAGTTTAAGGGAGCAACAGGTATTGCATTGTACCGCCATCTTCACCCCGGATATAAGACTCGCCATGCAATATCGTAGATCTATATATACATACATACTTACAATATACATAAATACGCACAATCTAAAATTGATTTTTTTAACACAAAAAATTAAAAAAATATTGATATATAACATATATTAATAATACAATATAATCATTCTGAAACAATCTCTAAAAAAATTACGAATGAAAATTGAGGAATGTATGACGTATATAACATGTCTATTAGCAATATGTAGATTAATTTTAATTTCGTTTTAATTTAATTTCTATCTTTTTCTATTTCCAAAAAAGAAAATGAGTTAAACCGAGATTTAAGTTAATTTATACTAAAAATTGACAAGAAAAAGATAAGGAGTAAATTAATCTGAGATTAAAATAAACATAAATAATTTGAAAAAGCAATTTTTTTTAATAGAAATTATAGCGAATTAGGATATTATTAATAATGTACTTCAATCTCTCAGAAGTGAATAAACTCGCGCGTAACGTTACCGACCGATGTGTTTCTGTCGTTCGATTGGCACAAGGCGCGCTCTTTTCACGTTGGCCGCCCTGGCCATTTCAAACCTGTGTCGTGCGGCGCAAGCGCGCCATTCGTCGGCGTTCCTCGGTCGCACATTCGTTTCACGCTACAGTCAGTGCGTCTCGCGCCGGCGGAGAGATCGGTTCGTCTGTTTATTCGTTTGTTCATTCGTCTAGCCGTTTGTATCCCGCGTTCGTTTTCACGTCACGATCGACGCCACGAGGAATAACGCCGCCGCGATAATCGTTCGCGATCGCGACGAGGAACGAGATCGCGCGCGCGCGCGCACGCGGATGTGCCCGCGAGTGTACGGGTCGCGTGTCGTCAGTCTATCAGTGTCGCCGGCAAAGAGCGAGTAACAGTGTCGAGGTCGCGGCGTGTGTTCCGTTTTCCCCTTTCTCTCGATCGTTCCGTTCCTCTCGCGTTTTATTGTCGCGCGCGGAAACAGCCGGGGAGACATCGATATCGACATCGACGTCGAGAGTTGACGAGTGCCATGACGACTCTGTGGATTGTCGCCATCGCGGCGGTCGCCGTTGCGACGACGACAGTGAATGCCGCCGGCCTCAAGTGCGATGGTGTCAAGCCGATCTTCGTGGCGCAAGGATTCCCGCTCAGCGACATCCCGAAGGAGGCGATTTCATGTGAGTAGCACATCTCAAGTATTTCGTGCGGTATTACACAAAAAAAAAAGATTAGTTTTAAATCGAGACTATGTATTTTCATATATAAGCATGAATATTACCGTTGGGAAATATGTATTAAATTTAACATGGATCACACATCGTCTTAATGGTCCATTCAAATTTTTGTGTTAATTTAATATTTAATATTTAATATGGGTGTGTAATAAATTAAATAGTAACATTGATATTATGTTAATATTTAAACAAAAAAGAAGTCTTGATATTAATTAGAATTTATTATGTGTGCAATTAATATAATTTTTGTGATAAAAGTAATGCGCAATCATCCTCACTTTTATTATGCTAAAATAATCAACATTTTTTAAATGTAAATTTTAATAAATATTTAATAAATACGTACAAATTATGTTATTTTAATATATTTTTTAATCGTTTTAAAAATTTTATATTTTATATTTGTTAAGATCAACTAACATAGCTTATGTTAAATTTATACATAAATATGTAGATTAACATAAAAACTATAATCAGCAAATTGTTTCACAAAAATACACATATTTTCCAACTGTGTAATTTTCATATAGAATTTTTGTTATTTTTAATCTTGGAATAGAGCAAAGGTAATATGAATCAATATATTCAATCAAATCAAAATTAAAATTTTTAAGAAGATTGT